TAAAATTATGTAAACATCCTTAAAACAAGACAAAATTTGCATACTAATAATTGTGTCAATGTATAGACCCTTTTTCTGTTAGTAAAAGTGTCTGAATACTTAGGACCATGTGATATTTTAGTTTTTCTTTTTTAATAAATCTGCAAAAATGTCAACAATTCTGTGTTTTTCTGTCAATATGGGGTGCTGTGTGTACATTAATGAGGAAAAAAAATTAACTTAAATGATTTTAGCAAATGGCTGCAATATAACAAAGAGTGAAAAATTTAAGGGGGTCTGAATACTTTCCGTACCCACTGTACCTCCTGTAAATAATGTAAGTTTACAGTGACATTACCTACCTTTACTTACATAGAGTACATTTAAATTAAGATGTGAATATTTTCTAGAAATAAAAATTCCAGAAACTAATTTTGATTATTTTTTTCTTACCAAGTTCTTAAAAATTCCAGCCACAATCAATCACAACAATGTATATACAATTACAGATCATTAAGCATATAAATCGTCAGTTTGTTGTTTTACACACATGCACACAGACATTATTTCATACGCGACATAGTCGTGAGATGCATAAGAAATCTTTAGATGCGCAACACAAACCATAATCCATAACAACAAAAGACAATTCTTTATTTAACCTTTTCTGACAAGAAGTGTGCGCTGCAAACGCAAGCATTTTTGACTATCGTTTCTGTCCAGTCCGCTCGTTTTATCGCATTTAACCACAGCTGTCGTCGGTTTTTTGTCTGGCAGTGGCAGCAGGTATGCTTTAAAATGTTAAATTGGAGCCTCTACTACGTCGATTCTGGCACCCAACATCACAATAAGACGCTATTTTAAGCTCCTTATGTAGCTGAATCTGCGCTGGTTTGAATTGGTCGCCTCCAGTTTCCCCCTTGTATTGCCTCCAGCTAGCACGGTGACGTAATTGTGACGTCGGCCCTAAAAGGGTCTATATATCTTGAATTAAGTTTGTTTTTTCCCCCATTGATTGATTGGTCTTGTTTTAGGCATAAACATCAAGAAATTTGGTTGCATTTATGGCTCAATGACCCATTAAAAAAAATAGCATTCATGATAAAAAAAAGACAAAAACCTCTAATTTAAATCTAGAAAGTAAAAAAAAATCCTTGTCGTATTTATGTTTCATATGGAATATTTAATGACTCTAAATATGTCCTGTGTTTTAAAAAGTAACAATACTGAACTGCTTTTTTAATGTACACTACCATTTAAAAGTTTGGGGTCTGCAAGATTTTAAACAACTCAACAAATTTACATTTATTGAATCAAAAATACATTAAAAACAGTAATATTATAAAATATTTTTAGTTATTTATTTAAAATAACTATTTACCATTTGAATAGATTTTATAATGTAATTTATTTCTGTGACGCAAGGCTGTATTTTCAGCATCATTACTCCAGTCTTCAATGTCACATGATCTTTCAGAAATCATAATATGCTGCTCAAGAAACATTTCTGATTATTATCACTGTTGCAAACAGTTGTGCTGCTTACTATTTTTGTGGAAACTGTGATACATTTTTTAGGATTCTTGAGATGGTCCTCAGTGCAGAACACAAGATCCAGGGGGCGTGGTTGGATCCCGATCCAACTCATCCCATCTTACATATACCTAAACCTACCCGTCTCCACCCCCTGATCCCTAAACCCACCCATCTCCACCCCTAAACCTACCAATCTCCACCCCCTAGATGTGGATCCAACCACGCCCCCTGGATCTTGTGTTCTGCAGTAAGGGGCTACTGGGATTCTTAGATGAATCTTTTGTAAGATTATAAATGTCACTTTTGATCAATTGAATGCATCCTTGCTGAATAGAAGTATTCTTTCTAAAAAAAATTCTTTTAAATCTTACTGACAACAAACTTTTGAATGGTACTACATTTTTTAAATAATTCGCTTTTAAAAACAAAATAAATATAATCACAATGACAATTATACTATAAAAATACCAATTTTATGCAGTTTTGCTTCAAGTACCTATAACATGTTTTAAAAACAAGACACAACAACCGATTAAGAAAATAGTATTTTTTGCAGAGATAAAAAAAAGAATCTGACAGAGGTACACACTATGACAACTGTGACAGAAAGGACTGTCAACTTAACTGTATTTGTTGGCTCCACAATTTTGACCCGAAGTCAGTGACATTCAAATGGAGGGCGTGAAGAATGGCTAAAAATGTCTGGTAGCTGAAGACCGTCTGAACTAAATGGTTAGTGGAGCGTCCAGCACTCTGTCAAAGTATCATTCTGAGGAAATGACAACAGATTGCGGTCAGCACAAGCTTTGATTAGGCACTCCTGGACATGCCCATTTGTAACTGCCCGACATAAAGTGTGATGAACTGTGAAGGTGCTTTGATGGCATCTTCACCTCAGAGACTCATCCCGTGTGAATCAGTGTGATTAATATTCAGAAAGCTGACCAACCCACAATCAAGCCTTACACCCAGTAACTGATAATAAGGAAAAAGAGCTGCACACAAACTTACCCAAAAATGAAAATTCGGTCATCATTTACTGACCCTCAAGTTGTTTAAGGTGTGGGATTTATGTTATTGTCCTTTAGTAATATCCACTAATATCACACGTGTTCACACTGGGTCATGTATGAAAAAACATTCATTACATTTCACATCACAGCTAATGCATCACATGACATTTTCATTCACTTCTATTCTCAAAAAGTCAAATGAAAACATCAAGCACAATGCCTTGGGCGATTTAAACTCGAAAGGCCCCTGCTGCCCATGTCACCAGTGACATTATCACATGGGAGATTGCAAAAAAACAATGTTTACAATGCTCAATTTAACTAATAACCAAATATAATCTCGCAGCTGCACATCCGACTCCATGCCAACACCACAATGCTGACAATTTTCCCTCCACGCTTGAAATCCATTAACATGACCGCTGAAATGGTCCCTGCGAATACTGCTTTAATGTTTCTGCTTTAAACCAGTTCAAAGCTACTAGGCCGACACAAGCAACAACACAGAAACACTAGAAGCATATTGATTTATCTAGTTCTTCATACAGTGCTTTTCAAACCATTAACAAATATTTTTCCAGGCATGCTACACATTATCAGATAATAGAAGTACAAAAGTAAATTTCCCGAAACCTGTCAAGAACATGTTTGGGTCATATTTTACCCCAAAAATCGAACAAAATAATAAATAAAATATATAGAAATTGCACTTTTGTTCAAAACTTTGGGTTTTACCATGATTACCGTGATGCTAAAGACCGGAGTAATTCTATTCTATTTTTGCCACACACACAAAAAAAAAAGGTAATGGAGACTTTTATCTCAGAATTCGGATTTTTTTGTTGCAAATCTGACATATTTTCTCAGAATTTTTACAAAAAAAGTCAGAATTGTGGGATATACATAAAGATAGAGTTTACATCTCAAAATTCTGAGAAAAAAAATTAATTGTGAGAGTTGTGAGACATAAACTCAGAATTGTGAGGTAAAAATACCTTTTTTATTTTTATATTCTATATAATTCAGCTTAGCCTTGACCGTAATAAGTTATATTTTAAAACCTATTTCTAAATATAGAAAACAGTTGTTTTAAATTGCAACAATATGTCACAGTATTACTGTTTTTACTATAATTTAAATCAAACAAATGCAGCCTTGGTGAGTATGAGAATCATATGAATATATTCTACCATCTAAATGATTTGTGCATGTTTTCATATTTTTTAAAATATATTATTATATGTTCTTGACAGAAGTTTTACTCAAAACTTTAAGACAGAAAAGTGGTGTAAAGAAATATTGGGTAAACGATGAATTATGAAAATGAAACCTAGCAGTAACATGCATTAGTTTGGTCTACATGTTTGGTCCTCATGTGACACCTGAGATTAAGTAAAGTATATTAAGATTAATAGGCTGCTCATGTAAGTGGGATCCGTGTTAACAAAATGAAGGAGTGCTCAAGACTGCCTCCTAGTGAAGAAAACACTATCAGCTGCTGCTCATGTCTCAAACAGGGTTTAACAACCTCACGTTTGAAGGGAAATCAATACAACCACTAAAAACAAGGGACTAACCTTTGATATTTCTAAAAATATATTTAAACGCCTAGGAAGAGGCTGTTGTGCTGTAAGTAGAGTGATCTGGTTGAGCACGTGTGCCATTCACGACAATTTTTAAAAAGAGAAGGCATGATTTCCTTCATTTACAGATAAAGAGGCACACATTCATGTTCACGATCCAACCACACTATGCGACCCACCTACTTCGTGCAACCAAAACACAAACCTAATTTCCAGCACCCCATCTGAACATCTATCGCACGGCTGAGTCACATGCGGAAAACATTAGCAGTTGTGTTCAAGGTCCGGCTTATTTCAGAAAAAGTGACAAAAGGTAAAAATAGACTTCTAACAATGACAAATGTTCTGTGAAGTGGCTGAACAATCTTGAGCCACAATTCCACACGTGCATGAACGCGTGCAGAAGAAAATGAGCCATTGAAAACGCTCCTGACTTTTGACGCAAGCGGCTCAACGGCTGATGGTTTTAGCTGAAAGACTGCTGGAGTGAAGAGGTTTTTGGTTGTTTTAAGGTGTTTTGTTGCAGCACGACTTACATGTGAGGCCTACGAGAGCCACGCGGATGCTGAGGTCCACCATCAATGCCCATCTGGGACCGCAGCACGCCACCGCCGGTGGGATCAGGATCTCTGCTGACACGTAGAACTGCAGCGCATAAGTGATGTAGATCCCAAAAGAGTAAAGCAGCTTCACGGCCTGATACAACCTATAGAACAGACAGACATTAGACACGTTTTTTTATTTATTTCTGCAACCACTGATGTCGAACTGATCACAGAATCACAGAATATAAACCGCTTAGACTAGTCTTAAAAAGTTAGTCATCTAATTTTTATTCTTTAAGACTGGTCATAACATTTTAAAATCAGTTATAAAAAGGGAGAATGGTCTAATTTGCGCGGATGCTGAGGTCCACCATCAATGCCCATCTGGGACCGCAGCACGCCACCGCCGGTGGGATCAGGATCTCTGCTGACACGTAGAACTGCAGCGCATAAGTGATGTAGATCCCAAAAGAGTAAAGCAGCTTCACGGCCTGATACAACCTATAGAACAGACAGACATTAGACACGTTTTTTTATTTATTTCTGCAACCACTGATGTCGAACTGATCACAGAATCACAGAATATAAACCGCTTAGACTAGTCTTAAAAAGTTAGTCATCTAATTTTTATTCTTTAAGACTGGTCATAACATTTTAAAATCAGTTATAAAAAGGGAGAATGGTCTAATTTGAATCCAAAAAGTAAGTCTGATTACCTCTTGGCTAGCTACTAGTTGATGAAACTATTCACAGTCTTAACATAGTGGCTATGTTTATGCAACTGGCCCCTGGTCTTTCAAGCCTGCTTGATTTACAAGCCTGCTTCGACTGGACTGACTGGAGTGTTTTTGAAGCTGCTGCCACCAATATGGATGAATTCACAGAAACTGTAACATCATACATCTGTTTCAGTGAGGATATGTATATTCGTACTAGGACTTATTTAACATACATGATGACGTTTCTATCAACTGATGTTATGCAACAAAAAAGTAAATTTTTCCTCTCGCGATAAGTCATGGCAACGGATTTTGGCTACACTAGCCATTATATTTAATCGAAGGAGGCGTATGCGTGTATCTTGACAGAAGCAGCGCGGAGAGCAGCTTCTGGGACGTGCCGTGGCGTGACTGGTAACACAAGCGTTGACTAGAGTGGCCGCGATCAGCTCCGGTGGCCGTTTTGGAGCCGTAACGCGCCGTAGACGTGTGCAGTGTAAATAGTCTAAGAATTAATGGCAGGGAAAGCCCCTTATATTTGAGAGCAGCCACATATGAAGTGTTTCTTGGAGGTTATATTACATTGCGGAATGATCATATGAATTTTTACGTATGCCATGTGACCTTTAAATGCAAAAAAACGTTTCCATTGCAATTTTGCGAAATATTCCTTTTTCGAATTGCCTGAAAAAGCACCTCATGCGAGCGTAAAAACTTTTTTGCGATATATGGGAATTTTTTCTAAATTGACGCGTTTCCAACAGGCGTATTTTCAATTCGCAATTTCAATTTGCGCAATTTGAAGGGTAATGGAAACGAAGCTAGTGACAAACCATGGTACACAGCAAAACTAAAAAAAAAAGAGGATGCCTACAGGAGTGGGGTCAGAATCTTGTATAAACAGGCCAAAAACACACTGACAAAGGAGATCAGCGTGGCTAAGAGAAGCTACTCCAAAAAGCTGGAAAACCAGTTTTCTGCCAATGACCCTGCATCAGTATGGAAAGGACCGAAAGACATCACAAAGCACAAGACACCATCCCCCAGCACTGTAGAGAATCAACAACTGGCCGACGATTTGAATTAGTTTTATTGCAGATTTGAAAAACCCTGTCTCACACCCCACACCCATTCTGACCTTCTCTCCATGGATCGATTAACACCTCCAGCAACCCCCCTCTCCCCCACATCTGCACTTCAGGTCTGCGAAAAAGATGTGTGTCAGGTCTTCCGGAAACAGAAGAGAAGGAAAACACCAGGCCCAGACGGTGTTACACCAGCCTGTCTGAAAACCTGTGCTGACCAGCTGGCCCCCATCTTCACACAGATCTTCAACATATCACTGGAGCTGTGCGAAGTCCGTGCCTGCTTCAAACGCTCCACTATCATCCCCATCCCAAAGAAACCCAAAATTACAGGACTAAATGATTAAGAGACCTGTGGCAGGTTAAAGAGCTGGCTGTCTAGTGCAGTTAAAACAACCTGGAGCTGAACACGCTCAAAACAGTGGAGATGATAGTGGACTTCAGGAGGAACTAGGGGTGTAACGGTTCTCGGTAAAAAAAACTAACCGTACCGTTCGCCACCCATGGATCAGAACGCACTTGCACCGCGGTTCAACTTAAATCTGACAACGCATCTGTAATATGGCTTCTTAAAAATAACAACACATTAAACAGACAGAGTTCGGCTAATATATGTTTCTGTCGATGGATACGTATTCTGGCTTCCCAATACATTACAACAACAGCAACGAAAAAAAAAAAAAAAAAAAAAAACGTGGATAAACCAGTCACTCATTGTATACTTTGTTCAATGCGAGTGCTGCTGGAATATGACCAGTCAGTTATGCCGTCATCACCCGGGTGTTGATAGCACATGTGCACAGGTGAGACCTGAACAGCACACATTGCTATCTGTTTAAACTAAACTCATCAAGCCTTGCCAGTTTAAACAATCAAGAGCCAGATGCAAATGAGTACTTGCGCGTACAGTGGGAAGATGTGTGTGTGTGCGCTCATCCGAAGCGCCAAACTCGTGTCTCAGAGAGCGTGCAAATATAGAGTCTTGTGCTTGAACAGACAAATTCACACACAAATTATAACATGCCTGTCTTGGCGAGTATCTTAGCAGACATAGTCAGCTGAACGTACAGTATCAGTGTACTGGATCCGTGCATTGTCAAGTTTTTAATGTTAATCAAACAACAAAAGACAAGGAAATCACTCACTGCATGCTCTTGATAGGATCTTGATTGTAACTTTAATAAGGATTAATCTTTCATATATACAGTCAAATATGCAATGTTATTTTACTTTTGATTACTTCAATTTCTGTACCTAAAAACTAATGTTAGACCTACCTAAAAAACCTGAAAAGCACTGTTCATTATATTTGTATCTTTGCTCTATTGTATTTATTTGTGCTGTTGCTTGTAGTTAGATTATTTGTTCTCATTTTCTTTATTTTTCTTTGACAGTATAGTCCTTTTTTCCCTAAACATAGCAATAACCCTAACCGAACCGTACTGAAACGGTGACTTAACTGTGATACAAACCGAATCGGGAGTAATTTGAACCAATACACCCCTAGGAGGAACCCCCCTGCACTCCCTCCACTCACCATCATGGACAGCACTGTAACAACAGTGGAGTCATTCAAGTTCCTGGGCACCACCATCTATCAGGACCTGAAGTGGGAGTTCCACATAGACTCCGCAGTCAAGACAGCAGTGTCTGTACTTCCTTCGCCAGCTGAGGAAGTTCAACCTGCCACAGGAGCTGCTGATACAGCTCTACTCTGCAGTCACTGAATCCGTCCTCTGCACTTCTATAACTGTCTGGTTCAGCTCAGCTACCAAATCAGACCTTAGAAGACTGAAGCGGAGAGTCCGGACTACTGAGCGAATCACTGGTACAACCCTCCCCACTCTCCAAGAACTGTACTCATCCAGAGTGAGCAAAAGAGCTGGCAAAATCATTCTGGACCCCTCACACCCAGCCCACTTCCTCTTTGAACTGTTGCCATCTGGTTGGCGCTACAGAGCACTGAGAACCAGAACGGCCAGGCATAAGAACAATTTCTTCCCTCAGGCAATTCATCTCATGAACAGTTAACTTGGCAGTCCACAGCTTCTCCTTTGCACCGGAGTTTGTCAGCAGGAAACAGTGATGTCAATGGGTGTATTTGGGTCTGTTCCCAGTTCCTTAGTATTTTCAGTCAGCCTTTTTGTCACCTGGGCTCAGTGACCTGTTCAGAATGCTTTCTTTGTATTCGCCTGAAGTGAATAAGCCTAAAACTGAGAATCTGAAATCAACTTAGAAACAAATAAACATAAAAAAAAAACTTTCTTTTTTTTTTTTATATTGAAAAGCTAGGCTGTGAATAGATTTGGCATAAAAAATAAATACATATATATATATATATAAATACTATAAATATTATTACAGTGTTTGTTATTGTGCACTTTTATCACTTACACTACTAAAAACTTTTTTGTTATTAATTTATCAAAAATACAGTAAAAAAGTAATATTGTGAAATCTTATTACAATTTAAAATATTTATTTACGTTTATTCATTTTAAAATGTAATTTATGCAATTCCTGTGATGCAAAGCTGAAGTTTCCACATCAACACTCCAGTCTTCAGTAAAACAGTAATAAAAAAAACAGTAATCTTGTGAAAATATTATTACAGTTTAAAATAACTGTTTTCTACTTGAATATTTATTATAATGTAATTTATTCCTGTGATGACAAAGCTGAACTTTCAGCATCATTACTCCAGTCTTCAGCGTCACATGATCCTTCAGAAATCATTCTAATATGCTAATATGAAAAAACATTTATTATTATTATCAATGTTGAAACAGTTGCGCTGCTTCATATTTTTGTGGAAACCATGATACATTTTTTTCAGGATTCTTTGATGAATAGAAAGTTCAAAGAACAGCATTTATTTGAAATAGAATTTATTGTAATATTTTCTTCTTCTTTTTTTTTTTTGAGCATGATTGTGCATGGATATTAGTCTCATGTCCATCCTAAAAATCAGGATAGCTTTTGTGCATTATATTTTTGTAATGTCTTGTATAATTTCAGTTTTCGGTTTCTTTTTCATAATAATCATCATAATCAACAAAATCAATAAAACAAACAAACAATAAATAAATAAATTGGACTAGTACACAATAAACATTAAAGATTCCCTGGCACTCACCAGCACAATGGTAAGTTTAAAGTGATGCTGCCCCGGATATGCTCTCCGAAGCCAATGAAGCCAATGGTGCCCAGGGTGATGTAGAGGGTGGTGACGATGCCCATGCCAAGATACAGGACCATGGTGAAGTTTCTGGGATTCTGCATCTTATTCTCAAGTGGGAGCACCTGATGAAGTTTGAGTATGACACCTTTTTGAAATGAACTTTTTTCACTTGAATAATTTTTCTGTGGTGACAAGCAAAATATCAGAGCAAAAGAAAAACTTACAACTCCAATTCCCTCAAAGGCGAATATTGCTGTTCCAAAGAAGAGAGGATAGTCAACTCCTCTTCCTGCCAGCGGGAGGTTGATAGGGTATGGGATATTCTGACAAAGCAAAGAAGGAACAGAAAAAAAAATGTCTGACAGTCTGTGACATTATGGATATTAAAAAAAAAAAAAAGGTTGCATGAATATATAGTGGACTCCCAAAGCCTGAGACGATGAAAATGCTTCTATTTAACCTTTTCTCTTTTTTTCTGTTGCATTTACTTGGATCAAAATTACAGTAAAAATTGTGAAATATTATTGTTGTTTAAAACAACTGTTTTCTATTTGAATATATTTGAAAATATAATTTATTCCTACGATGCAATGCTGAATTTTCAGCATCATTATTCCAGTCTTCAGTGTCACGTTCCTTCAGAAATCATTTTAATATGCTGATTTGCTGCTCAAGAAACATTTAAATTTATTATCAATTATTATCAATGTTGAAAACAGTTGTGTGCTTTCATATTTTCTGTAAACCATGATACTTTTTTTCCCCAGGATTTATTGATGAATAGAAACTTGATGAATAAAACAGCATTTATTTGAAATAGAAATATTTATAAAATTATACAAAGTCTTTATTGTCATTTGATAAATTTAATGCATCCTTAAAAGTTTTAATTTCTTACAAAAAAATTAAAAAAATAAAATTACTGACCCCAAACTTAATAATAGTTATAATTAATAGTTATAGGTAATAGGTATAGTTAAACAGTCATTATATTAAATATTTCTTATTAATTATACATTGTAAATATTTTTTATTTACATCTGTCAAATTTTGTGATAAAAATGATTATATAATAGAACTATATAGACTTTTATATTTACAAAGTCTCAGACTTTTCGGACACATTGCATAAATCAGATTTTTAAATAATTTTTGGAGCACAAATGTTATACAAATGAAATCATGAATACAATTCACAGTATAAATTTACAGTGATTGTATGACATGTTGTACTGGTTCAAGATGCATTTAGAGGAAACGTTTTATGTCCTTTGGCAGCTCTGTAAGCATTTTTGAAACCTTTGACTCTTTACAAAAAATGTTTTCCAAACAACAAACCAATTTGCAATCTCGAGCCAGCTTCCCCTTGCTGTTTCCACCAAGACAAATGTTCTTTCCTCACTGAAAAATTCTGTTACCTTCTTGCTTGCTTCTCAGTAGCTGCCCCGCTGATTACAGGCGGAGGGTCTGATAAAAGCATTTAAAGCTGTTCAATATGAAATGGGCTCTAAAAAACAACCCTGAAACCTGTCATTGAAACTTAACTCTTCATCCATAACATCTGAGACTCAATCAGCAGCCCAGGGAGAGGTCTTGGTCCTGAGGATTGCTTGGAGCAAAGTATCTATTTCAAACCTTTTTAAACATTCTGTTTGAAAAGTGTATCTGTGCTATATATGCGTTTAAAATAAACAAAAATTTGTTTAATATTTTGTTATCTAATGCAAATATAGTGTTATATATATATATATATATATATATATTATATACGACTACACTATATTCATATATGTGACCCTGGACAACAAAAGCAGCCTTAAGTCACTGGGGTATATTTGTAGCAATAGCCAAAAAAAACATTGTATGGTCAAAATGATCGATTTTTCTTTTATGCCAAAAATCATTAGGATATTAAGTAAAGATCATGTTCCATGAAGATATTTTGTAAATTTCCTACCGTAAATATATCAAAACTTAATTTTTGATTAGTAATATGCATTGCTACGAACTTCATTGGACAGCTTTAAAGATGATTTTCTCAGTATTTAGATTTTTTAGCACCCTCAGATTCCAGATAGTTGTATCTCGGCCAAATGTTGTCCTATCCTAACAAACCATACATCAATGGAAAGCTTATTTATTCAGCTTTCAGATGATGTATAAAACTAAATTTAGAGAAATTGACCCTTATGATTGGTTTTGTAGTCCAAGGTCACATATAGTGTGGCTTAACACTAGAACCGTCACGGGGTAAATTTTACCCGTGGCTGTTTTTCAAATGTACATAAAAGATTTAAAATAAAACATTCAAGTCTCCCAGTCATTGACTTTTACTAAAATTATGTAATTTACAATCCAATGTTGTTAAAAATTATTTAGATAAAACCAGATCAAAAAATGGGGCATTTATAACTCTAAGCGCCAGCGGGTCAAATTTACCCGCTATATAATGCATGTATTTTCGCGCTGTCATTTTCTTACGCTTATGTTTTAACATTGTACATTTCTAGGCAACGCCTTTCACTCACTGATTTAGCAGTTATCAGTCTCATAAATAAAGTCAAAATGACAAAAAAAAAGGCGATTTATGGAAGGTAGGTATTAGAAACACTAAATGGGGGAAGTCATGGCCTAATGCAGGGATTGTAGGTGGGGGGAGTGAATGTACAGCGCTCTCTCCCACCTTCAATACCACGACTGAGGTGCCCTTGAGCAAGGCACCGAACCCCCAACTGCTCCCCGGGCGCCGCAGCAAAAATGGCTGCCCACTGCTCCGGGTGTGTGTTCACGGTGTGTGTGTTCACTGCTGTGTGTGTGCACTTTGGATGGGTTAAATGCAGAGCACTAATTCCAAGTATGGGTCACCATACTTGGCCACATGTCACGTCACTCACTCACTCACATAAATGCCATGAGTGATGGAGAGTCTGATGGTAAGTTATGTGTCCTGGGTCAGCTCAGCATCTGACAGTGATCCAGATATTATGTTTCAGTATCACGTTACTCTAATTGGTCAAACTTTGGTTTAATTATCATTTCATGACTCTAGACACTTCTTTGTGAAGACAGTGGCATAATACAGTGAAATAATATGTTCTTTAGCCATATAAATACAGTTGTTATGTGTGTGGGTAAAATTTACCCGCTGGCGCTTTTAGGTATACAGCGACCTCTGGTGGTTCTAGTGTTAAGTGTTCAAATACTTTTTGGTCCACTCAGGATGTTGTATTGTGGGCTACAGTAGTGCTGGGCGGTATGACCAAACATTTATATCACGGTATTTTTCAAAATTATACCGGTTTCACGGTACATGACGGTGTATATTTTTTTTCATGCATGTCCGGGTGTTAACCATATTTTCTACTGATTGAGAGAGGAAATACTGCAGTATATTGACTTAGAATGCCCTATTTTACTGTCACGATGAGTGAATATT